ATTGAAAAATTTAAAATCTTTGATGCATTTCCCGAATTGTGGTTAACGCATAGCATCGCGTGTGATCCTTGTTCCAAATTAATTAACATTTAACGCAAATTTCACGACAAGACTAAACATCAAAACCAATGATAGCATCGAGTCGTCAGTTATGCTAATTATTGTCAGATTTGAAACATTTCTATATTTGCCTCTAAAATCGGAAGGACTTAACGATTCTTCACATTAACATCACATCTGTTTAGCATTTATTTATTGAAGACATTCATAACTATCACTGCTTTTGCAGTCATGCCATTCAATGTTCACTTCCCTAACAAATCACTTAATATTATCTCAGATTTAAGCCATTGTTTGTTATGATATGATATGTTGTGAGCATTACATCCAAAACAAACTTATTATAAGACAATGAAGTCTTCTTTAAACACAACTTTCCTCACGTTTACTATAAAAGAGAAATTCAATTAAATTGATAGCAAAAGAGATTTCACTGACGACTTCATCCATTGGTTCAATATATCATTGAATACAATACAAGGTATACAACAATATATTGCATACAATTTAACGTCAGATCGATATATGTTTTTCATTACTAATTATAATTTAAACTTAAGTTAAGAGACAATCGTATCGTCTTTTATGTGTGAATGCATTCATTATCTCCTATTTATGTCAACTATTTATGCGATAATTAAGACATGGATTGCAAACCAAATTCAATTATAAACAACTGAATTGAAAATCCAATTATAGTTAAGAAAAACACAAAAGACTATAATATTTACGATATTTGCAAAACAAGTGGTGAGAAATGATTTGTTGGCTTAAATTGTGAGACAATACTATAATTGAATAGAAATTTATTATAATATAATCATCACAACTGACGGCATATTAATTGACGTCAAAATCTATTACACTTTAACAGTATATACAGTATTATTAGACAACTTTTTATGTTGAAAGACACTAACAATACATACAATATATTTTCAATTCATATCATTCATCAGTTAAGCACTGAAAATATTTTTATCAAAATAATAAACAAATTAACGAAAAAATAATAAATAACTAAAAGATATGAAACCAAATATAAAGTGATATTTTGTAAAATGCAATACAATTACAATTACGTGAAGACATTAATCAAAGCATTGGTGACCGTATTGTGTGACCACTATTTGCGATACAAATGCATATTAAATACGGAAAAACAAATCAAAAATCTCAACAAAATTGTGACCAAATGTTAGGCAAATGTTGAAACATGTATTCAATATGTAAGCAATGATGCATTCAAATGAAAGTTGCATTCAATCGGCCCAAAGAGTGAGAGTGAGAGACAGTGAGAGAGTGGGGGAGAGAGAGTGGCAAAGAGTGGGAGAGAGTGAGTGAAGTGATGGTGTGTTCAAACCTGGTTCCGGGTCTCTTGTTATTGTCGTCCTGCGAGGTATCCATTGATGGTTTGGTCACAGCATTGATCACAGCATTGATCACAGCATTGGTCACAGAGAGATGTGTTGTGTATCGAAAGGCAATGCTATCCAACTGTCAAATGCACTCAACACTCGCCACCACTACTACTACACCAGTACTACAGCAGTGATGCACTACTCGTATGAATACTTCACTGATTCTGCTCTAACGTGAAGGGAATGGCTTTTGAACGGATCCGGATATCTCTGCCTTACCATCGATAGAGGACTCTCTCTACACATTATTACAAACACAGAGACCGACCGATTCACTCACCCCTCCTCTCCTATCCATCACTTATTCTTTACCGCATTTCAGGCCAAAAGTGGTGATTATTCTTAGCGAAAGACATTAAATGCATTTCAAGTTTTGTTTATCATTTGGTTTTATTATGTCTGCAAATATTTTTAAATAAAAATAAACTACTTTTAAATAATTTTTTCATTAAATAAATTACTTTTAAATAACATTTATATATATTCTTGTAAGAAATATAAAAGAGATTAAAATAAGTGTTTATAAATAAAACAAAAATAAATATTCAAATTATACGAAATAGTATTAAAGAAATATATATTAATAATATTCATATAGAAATTTATTTCAAGAGTTTTATGAAATATTGGGATTAATTTCGAGTTGTTTTGTTCATTCAATAATCCAAATGAGATTAATCCGAGTATTGAGTGAGAGAAAAAGCATTCAATTTATTGCTTATAATTAGTAAAAATTTGAATTAAAAATATAAATATAATCGGAAGGAGTTGTTAGCAATAACATCCGCTCTCATCGCCAGTATTGGAGTCCTTCTCCAGAGGTAATGGTCTCAGAGGTATAGCTATTAGAGAGGTTTTGTAAAGTCAAGGAAATATCGATTTTATTGGACTTTTGTTACCATTAAATTAAAGAGTAATTCACTTTTGGGTTTTTGTTTCATTCAAAAAGTTATTATTTTCATTTCAAAGCATTACATTCGCACTCATAATAAAATATTTAATTCGATAAAAATTTATTTATCATATATTTCTTTATATAAAAAGTCAATCTTTAACTTCAAGTAAAAATTAGACGTGAATTTTAAAGAATAAAAATATTTAACACTATTTACTGAATGAAAATTAATTTTAGAAATAAAAACAAATGATAATTCAGAATATAATGTAAATTATATGCACAAAAAATTATATAAGTAATAAAACGATATATTAAGAGCTGCTTCCGATTCCATGCAATTGAAAGGACTTTAAATTCCAATAAATATAAATTTGGTTTTAAATAATAGGTGTTGATTGCGATTTGCAATAAGGCTAACAGTATGTGTATTGCTTAATATGTTAACAAATGCATTTGCCCTCTTGGCTGGTCTGCTCTGAGGGGCCGTCCTTTAGGTCAACTTCAACGACTACAACAGACAAAGACAGTGCGGGTTAAGGACCATAACATACATTACAAATTGGTTGTGATGTGCAATCAATATCAGTCCACTCATATGTCATTCAATTTCCTATTATTTCTTTCAACATAAGCTTTGAAGGCATTACTCACTTCTGCCTTAATATTTAAGTAAAACTCTTTTACCATTTAATAGTAACTTAATATAAAATATATGTATATATTGAAAAGGATACTGTCCTCCTTTGCCCTCTCATTGGTCTCCATTCCGGGCAGCGCTGCCGCCACTCTTCGAAACAACTGATTTCATAATCAAATGTTAATAAATGGTATCATTTTTAGATAAGTTGGTTATGACTCACTTGCTTAACATTATATCCGGATTTAGCGCTCGTTTCGATAAACATAACATTAAGTTCTTTGGCTTTCTTTTCGCCCTCTTCTGTGGTCACCTGTCGTTTGTCCTGAAGATCGGTCTTATTTCCGACTAACATAATGATCACATCATTGCCTCTCTCTGTCCTCACGTCGTCTATCCATTTGGACGTTTGATGGAATGAATTGGCGTCTAATCAATAAGAAATGCCTATTAATCACTATTTCCTTCACTAATCACTTCAGACACGACTCACTTGTTATATCGTAGACAACGACAGCAACCGTCGAATCTCTTATATAACTAGGAATAAGACTACGAAAGCGCTCCTGACCTGCAGTGTCCCATAATTGTAAGCGAACCTAATGTTTAGTTTAGGCATCAAATAAAACACTCAATTATCACATATTATTATGCGTTTAAATATTTGTAAACATCTTATAGTAAATTATTAAAACAAATGGCACACTAAATAGTTTTAAATAAGACTATTATTAGTAGTAAACGCTATACAAATGCCGGTAACAAGAGTTCGTAAAGCAATAAATAATAGACATAACAGGTATTCAAAGATTTCATGTTATGTTGACTAAAGATTAAGTGACATAACATTCATTTCAAGTCTATTTAGTAATCGTTTGCTTTACACCGAAAAACTAATTATCAAAAGTTATATTTAACTAATTTAGCAAAAGGTGTGTAAAGATTGCTAAATATTTTATTTGTTTTATATTTTAAATCAGAAATAAATGGAAATGATTTTCTAATAAAAAACAGAAATCATAAAAATATGAATAAATATAATGTGTTTTTTGAGAGCAAAGCCTACAATAAAAATGCAAATTTAAAACTCAAAACATTGAAATGTTTTCAAGTATTCAAATATCCAATTATGGTATTAAAGTGTGAACTAAATCACCAAAAAACAAGAAAAAGTGATACAATTCCTAAACTAATTATCAAAATATTTAAGTAATTCATAAAAATTACACAAAATTATCGTTCAAAACATACAAAAAACTTTTCAAATGTTATGTTTTGTCAAAAATAAACTTTCGATAATAGATTTCAATACATTTTCATACAATTAGAGTAAGCGTGTTCAACTGGGTTTTAGTATATCACATATACAGATTCACAGTATGCCATAAAAAGGTGGCGCAACGGTCAGTACAAAAGTTTAGGTTTGTCAGTATTAAACAAAAAACACCGCGTGAAGGTCAAGCTAATGGTTTCTC